TATGTATTTATTAATTTAAAAAAATAATTAATACATTTTTTAAATGATCTCATTGGTGGGCCGGACTGAAGTCACCCGTGGGCCGGAAGTGGCCCGGGGGCCGCCAGTTGACTAGTCCTGGACTAAAGCAATATTTTCAGCAACTTATCCTGGAGTATAGCTGCGGTTGTTCTTGTATTCCATTTACAGTTTTAAATCTTTGCGGATATTAAATAAATTTATGTTTACTAATTAAAAAAAAAAATCCTGTTATAAAAAGAATGAAAATAGGCAAAAGTGACTTTTTTATTTTGTCAAACGTGATTGAAACAAGAATGGAAAAGGACCCTAAGAGTCCAAAAATGCAAACTTTTATCCATGCAGAGCTTCCTGTTTCTCAGTATTTCAAGGTTTAGTTTGAACACATGGAGCCTTTTGATCAAACTTGTATTTTTTGGGTTTTGACAAACAGGGAATATATAAGTTATGGCTGTTTGTACCACAAGCCATCACTGGCTTTAACTAATTTGACTGTTTTTTTTTTTGTTTTTTGCTTTTCCAGCTCTTCTTGTTGTTGAGACAGAAACGTTCGGGAGTCACGTCCGAATTAAAGGAAAAGAAAGTGAACATTACATTTGCATGAACAAGAAGGGGAAAATTGTCGGAAGGGTGAGTGACTTTCAGTTCCTCTGTTTTTTTATATAACGTACACAGAAACAAGGTCATAAGAGCCATTTCTGCACAGTTGAATATTAAACGTATATTTTAAACCAAGCTCTGAATCCTGTCTGAATTTGATAGAAGCTCTGATTTGTTGTCTCGTTGTTTTTGTACACCCTAACAAAACCCTTTTGATAGCTCACAGCCATTCTTCCATTACGTAATCGGCCTACTCCTTTGACACTCGATCAGTCAATTACAGACTGCAATCACCACAATGCATTGAGAGACTAATGGTCACTTAGGAGGAATGCCATTGCAATTATATCACTTAGTCACACCAGGTGGCCACGAGAGCGGGACGACTGCAACTCTGCAGGCACCCCTTACGTATGAAAAAGAAAGTTAACATTGAAACGTGCTGTTTTTTCAAAAACATTAAATTTAGTTTAATAAATAACTTGCTGCCAGCATGGCGGAGGCGTAGTAATTCGCTGAAGTTTATTTTCAGATTTGAGAAATATTCACTTTCTGTTGCGATGTTAGCCAGTGTTCTTTAAGTTGCGCTGAGCTGGGCTTCGCTTGAAATTATAAAACAATTGTTCTTTATCGGCCTCACAACGCTAAATTGAAAGTTATGTATTGAAGGGTTTATAACATTTTGTAAGGAAAAAGCACATTCGCATCTAGTGTCAATTACAGCTCAGAAAAACAAGAAAAAACAGAAAAGTCGGCAACAGCCTCAAAATAAACTGCAATAAGCTTTCCCCTCCAAAAACAATCAAGTCGAAACTTGAAAATGCTGCTGTTATTGTACACTGACGCCAAATATTCACCCAGATATGTTTTTTAGGATTATGGAACAATTTAACATTACTGCACAAAAAACTTCATCTTGATTCGTTTCATTATTTTCCCAGTAATGTGCTGATAATGCAAAACTCAGTTAAATAACTGAATACACTTTTAAAAGCACATGAAACAGGACGTCCTTGTAGGCTATGCTTAAAACAATAGGAGTTTGACCGAGTTCATGAAGGGGGTATCTAGAATGACTTGCAACATCTTAATACACGTTGCAAAGGTGCAAAGGTGCAAGGAGGGACTACTATATATATATATGTATATACATACATGTCTAAATGCATGCACAAGCAGAGTTACAGAAAACTTTTGTTCTAACAACAAAAGATGAAAAGATTAAAACCTACATTGCTTATTAGTCACTAAATTCCTAGAAACATAACCTTAAAATGTCTTGTTTTAACACAAAAATAAAAAATAAAGTAGTTGGCTCAAGAAGAGGTGATACTGCTGTTAATAACTGACATCCATGTTTTCCTTCTTTAGCCCAACGGAAAGAAGCAGGAGTGTGTCTTTGTCGAGGAATTCTTGGAAAACAACTACACAGCCCTCGTGTCAGCCAAATACAAAGGATGGTACCTGGGCTTCAACCGGAAGGGGCTGCCCAAGAAGGGTTCCCACACCACGCAGAGGCAACAGGAAGTCCACTTCATGAAGCGCCAGCCGAAAGGCAGGGTGGACCCACTGGAGGAGTTTCGTTTCACCACAGTAACAAAGCGGACACGAAGGGCTCGGCGGTTAAAACCCAAGCACAAGAGGAACTGATGGCACCAATGAGACAGAACTAGATACCCTCACTGGGGAGGGGGAACGTCAAGCTTCTTAAAAGAACCACCTTAAAGACTTCGCCTTTGTAAAGGACACACAGACAAGAACAAAAAACAAAAAACAAAATCAAAGATGTTTTATTTTTGTATTTCAGGATGACACTTCACGACTCTTGGATTCTTCTGAGTTGGTGTCGTCGTGCTCTCCGTCGTGTTATTTATACTGGATAAACTAAAGGACCTCTGAGAGAACTCCTGCGGCTGCTGTCCTCAGCTCCGTCTGGACTGCGAGCTGCGGCATACTTTCTTTTTGACAATGGGAACTGAAGCAGGAGCTGACGCAATGTTATAAAAATCAGCCAACTAGAGATTTATTGGAATACCTGTCGGTTTTTGTTTGTGTTGCCCCTGACAACACGGATCCCATACTTTCCACTGGAATTAAACACCATGGAGATGAAGCATGGAGAGAGGCGGCAGGTGACACTGCGCTGCCAGGATCACTGTGTAGCTTTGAGTGCAATATTTTACAGGTCTCTTTCTCTCCCTCTTTCTTTCCACATGTCTCTCAGCCCCGAGGTTCACTCGTGGCTCCTGGAATGTGTTGAAACGTTCAAGTCCCGAGTGCGATCTCCGTGACACTTCCATGCAGCTTGTGATTCAGCTAAAACACAACATGCTTTGACTAGTCAGGCACCCGCTCCGGCTTTAGTCTTCTTCAAACACTAAAAGAAAACGGTGCGATCAACAAAGTACTACAACAGCTGATGTAATTCGTAATTCCACACGGTCTTCCAGTTTCATCGCACTTGGAGAAAGACGGTAATCCTGATCCCTTCGTCTCTTCCTCACACGTGTTAAAGCTGTTTCAAATGACAGTGCCTTGATATTTCAAGTGAGAGCTTGTCAGTTTTTAGAGGCTGGCGATGACTTCTTCTACCTCTTTGTGCTTTTGTTTTTCTTTACTTAGTCCGATTGTTCATTTAATCTCGAGAACGTTTCGGTTCAAACTGTTGAACTCAGTTTTTTATTTTATTTTATTGTTCAGTTTATCTAGAAGATGAGAAAACGCACATCAGTCCTCCACAGGCAGGTATTCCACACATCAGTTGCTTCCTAAACATATTTAATAATTAAATTACTTCTCAAAAACTCAAATGACAGGATTCAGGGAACATTTAAGTCACCTGGAGTTTGAATCTGAATCCGTAAAGTTGCTGACAACAAACTCCAGTTTTCTTTTTTTCACCAGTAGTTTGTATTTACCTGTCAGTCTTTTGTATGAGTTACTACTAACAACGTGACACATTTATGTTTTTTTTAAACAAATCTAAGCAAAAAATAATTTTATGACTATTATTAAGATATTTATTGCCTCCCTTTGTAAATAAAATGTTGAGTTTTATTTGACCTCTGTTAATAAAATGAGGATTATATTTAAAAACAGCAAACACTCATGTCTTTTTTTGTGCCGTTGGTCAAGGTATACCCTTCTGTGAAGCGCCCTCTGAAGATGTCATTGTCTGAGAGATAAATGCTGCAGGTAGAGATTGGTTGGACATAGCGTACATTCCCTTCTCTGCATACTGCCAAGGTATGCATTTTTATATACAAACTCGAAGCGTGAGGACTGCTATTAAGGTCATCGCTTTGAGAAAGACCTATTGCAAAATCTCTAAAGGGTAAAAGAGTTCACACGCTTGGTGGTTTTAGTACACTGTTACTGCTATTTTTACACAGATGTAGGAAAAAAATCTAAAATTAACAGCTTTTCCTCGTCAGTTCTAAGGCAATATAAGGGAAAAATAAACTCAAACTTTTGCTTAAACTGTGGAAAACAATTGGAGATGAGCCCCCAGAGGATCGACAGCACCTAGACCTTTTCTGTTGTGAACAGCCCCTCCTTCAAATCAATTAAAGCACAATATTTTAGACAGTTTTGCTCATTTTAAAGTGCTGAAGGAATGCAGAGTAGCATGCCTTGTAATGCTGTGCAGGAATGATGTTTACAGAAACTGTCCGACTGAAAGATGGAGGCTTTTGAAGGGGAAAAAATACTCTTGTTTAAATTCCTTGCGATGTTATCAGGCCCCCCTTCACTCCACTCTGGTAGTCACCTCCAACAGATAGATGTTCCCCATTGTGTGATGGGATTTTGAACGTCTGACCTTCCTTTAAAGATGGAAACCCGGCGTTCAGTGCATGCCTTGTTGAAGGTACTCATTGCAACGTCACGAGGACTCATCAAAGCAATTCATGATGTAAGAAGCATTTTATTTTCTTATTGATGGTAATGTGTCCTTAAATGTAAAATTTGAAAGCAAAATTTGTGAATGGCTGCCAACGACCACAAAATGTTTACCTACAGAAACATCCGAAGTGACTGAAAATACGTCCACGATGGTGACGTCCTCTGTGGAGTTGTTTGAAATCAAGAATGTGTTTGTATGTTTTTACTCTCTGACTTATTGAGCAAAGTTTTTGGATTAAAGGGCTTTGTTTACTTTGATTGCACACCTGCATTTCAAACCTACATTTCACCATTTCTGCAAAAATACTAAAGCAGGGCTATTCAACTAAACTGCTCAGGGGGCCACAGTTACTGAGAGCGGCAGCTCAGGGGCCGGACATCCAGCAATTAGTCATTGTGTAGATAAACCAAGTATTTCAATGATCTGTTACCTTTTAAATTTGTTTATTTTGTTGCATTGAGTCATAAATGCAATAACCCAAACCCAGAACCCCCCCTACAAAAAAGTTAAATTTTTTTGATGAACTAATTGGTGGGCCGGACTGAAGTCACCTGCGGACCGGAAGTGGCCCGTGAGCCGCCAGTTGAATAGCCCTGCACCAGAGAAACCTCTTCAAACTGCACCATCTGTTATAGCTCATGGATAATCTTTTTTTTGTGATCGATTTCATAGTTTGCGACGAGTATCTTAAACGTACTGGATCTGCATTTAAGATTCTAGTGTCACGTTTTAAAAACAATTATTTTAATTGATTTCCAAAGCTTATCGTTTCCCCTGTAGAGAATGACATAAAAAGGTGCAGTAAGAGTGTTCATGAGACGATCTGAGATTGTTTTTTCAAATTTAGTTCTCTTGCATTTTTTTAAACTAGGGCTTAAAATCAGACTTTAAGGAATTTATTCAATGCAACTTTCAAAATCCTTCAAATTCTATTATGGGAGATTGAGGCTTTCCTTTTTTTCAAACTGCATACTTCAGACTTGACCAAGCACAACCAAACTGCATCAGGGTATATTGACATTTAAAAGAGTGCTGATGGTTAAAGACACGTCGGCCCATTTGCAATAAGGAGATGACATTTTAGCATAAGTCTCCTGCTAGGCCTTTCTTTGACTCGACCTTTGATCACTGGAGGCTGGACGGTCTTGGAAGTGGCCCAATAACTTCAAAATGAAACATAGAATTCCCTTTTGCAAAGCTTAGCCTCTTTTCAAAGGAGGTGGACTTAGTAAAAGCAGCGCTGCTTGCTTTTTATTTTATTCTTAAAAAATCTTTGCACGTTCAATCTCTGAACAATGGGTACAGTATGACCAGAACTGTGTCGACGAGGAGAGAAACTTTGTGGTTCTCGACGAATTATACAAATTTCAGTGTAACAACAACAAAGTGGTCTTTGGGCCTTTTAGGTCAGCAACCACACACTTAACAATTAGCCCCGTCAAGAGAAATTTAACTTCTTTGCGACGTAAACCAAGTTCCAACTGTCTTGAATTTTACTGAATTTGCCTCAGAAAGTTAGTGAAAAACAAAATTCCAAAGCCAAACAAAACAAAGTTCAAGCAATCCTATACCTTCGACCATTAAATGTAGTTTCACATCATTTACTGTCCAAACAGCACGACTGCTGCCACCCATCTAAACTCTAACCACAGTCAAATGGTCGCCCTTTATGACCCAACTCCAGAGGGAAAACACTGATTCTCAAAGTATTTTTAAGTAAATGGCTGAGTTATGTTTTTCCAGCATTGCAAATGTGCTTACTATACTTACCAGTTTCTGGAAAGCCAAACCTCGTCCGTGTTCTTCTCTGAACAAAATGTAGCCAGCATATAATAAAAAAGTTAAAATAAATAAATATATAAATAATTGGGCAGTGAATGTTGATTCTGCTCTATTTCCAGTTGTTGAATATTTTTTTAAAGATCTGCTTCAGTGCCTTAAATATTCATTCACTCTATTCAATGTTTTTTTTTAATGAATTTAGTTATATGTTCGAGGCTAAAGGAGAATAAACAAAACAAAACAAAAAAACAATAATAAAACTAATCGCAATATTACTAAACTTTATCTGGCAAAGTTGTTGCCAAGGTAACAAGACAATTTACTTTGACGGCGATATGTCCACGTGTTTCTGCTCTTCAGAGGTCACTAATGTTATGAATAAAATAACCTGTGATGATAAATTGTGGAAAATAACATAATATGGGTGGGTGAATATAAGGTTTAATTATGAATTATGGAAAATAGAACATATAAAGAGGGCTAGAATATCTGTCAGGTGTGTAAACTAGGCCATAAGCCGATAAATAATATCTTTTTAGTGACTGCTGACTTTAAAATCAACCATGACACTTTCTGATGTCTGTAGGAAAATAGTTCCTTATAAGGCCTTTAATGAGAAACAAAACATCAACCGCAAAGATTATTGATCAATTAACAAAGATCAGCTATAAAATTAAATTATAGTTCACATCATTTGAGTGTGTGTGGGGATTATGAAATAATTAATAATGAGTCAAAGAGCAGATTTATAGTTCAGGACGACCCTAGAGCAATCTAAAGACTTGACAATGTATTAAGTTACCAAGGAAATAATCGAGACTTTCACAGTCTTTGTGAGAATATGTAGGTTGGTGCTTATTATGTGTCACATATTCAGTCAAAAGAGATGACGGCTAATGTGCGCTTGATTGATTGGACAGGGATGAGAACCAGGAAGTGTGTCTGGCACTGATTGGACAAGAATGGGGAATAGGAGAGACTTCAGGGGGTCTGTAAGGTGTTTGATTGGATAGAAATTGAAAACAGGATGTGTCACGGGGTGGAGAAAAAAGTCTAAGTGTGGG